GAAGGAGATTAGATGTCGTTCGTATCACTATTGGTCAAGGATCCGTGTTAGAGCCACGCTCTAGGCTGGTACAGCTTTGCCATCGCCTATTGGCTATCGATTCTAGCCTGCGTAAAAGGCACTTTCCGTTCTGGGTGCGACCAGGTCGCACCCAGAACGGAATAGCGTTCTTTGCAGAATTGGCTATAAAGTCCGTGATAGTGGAGACTAATGTCAGAGAGATAACGGTTTTTTACCTTCTAAAATGACAATGACATGGCTCTCCCACCAGCAGGGGTTACATTTCAAAGATGTGTGGTTGGGCCTACCTGATAATTAACGTATACCATTTCGCCAATAATGTAGGACAATTCCACGTGCTATGAGGAGCTCCATGAAGGGCAGTCTCACGATACGGGGGCTTGCATACTTAGGGGGTGTTTGAAACCTCAGGTGGAGGTCGTTTTTTGACCTTTTTTGACCTTTTGACCTCTAGTACCCCCAAGTGTTTGAAATCTCATTCCACCTCCAGCTTAAAACCCGAGCTGAGGACAAGGATTCGATTTCGCGTATACTTCGGTAAATCTAATAGATTCATGCAACGGATATGCAGCACTACTGTCCTGTCCTCCATAGCAGTTCCCTTCTTTCCAGTGATGGGGGATAATGAGTTATACTCCGAAGCGTCGCTCCAATCGAAAGATTTGGAAAGACGCTTCTTTTCTACGGCCTTGTAGTGGTCCAGTGAAGTTTGAGATAGGAGGTCTGAAATGACTGCGGGATTGCGAAAGCTAGAGAAGAGATATGAAGTTCTTATGAAGTGGATATTTGAAGCTAAGATGTTTCTTAAATCCGGTGGCTGGCTGTCCTGTCATGAATTAAAGGGCAGCGTCGGATGCGCATCATTATTCAACACACAGGCTATGCGTCCGCCTAGGGACACCTCTTATCAGGCCTCGCGGAAGACCTCAAGATCCTCTATTGTGGCTTGGCGGAGATGCATGATGGCGTTTTTGGTCCGTTAGATTCAAAGTCAAACTTCTCGAAGGGGCTCAATCCAACGATGAATCTCCATGAACGTGAGGTTTGCCTTTAAATGACCGAGCACTGGCTGGTTTCTGCGTTGGCAAGTGGCGGTCAGAAAAACACCAGGTGACGGTAACGACGTAACGGCTTGCTTTGTCTAGAACCATACTCACCGCTTGCGCTAGAGTTGCTGCCGTGTACCTCATCGGGACTAGCGCGCTTGCATGGGAGCGTTCGTGAACGAGAGACATGCACGACAACAGTGCATTCAAGGACGAAAACGGCAGCTCACACATTGCATCGATCGGTTTGCGCCAATCTTGGGAATATGCTATTCAACTCTGGATCAGCCTGGCATGCCCCCCAAGCACCCCCCGTTCGAGCCATGTAACGACATCTCTGAGGATACCACCAGCTTCTCCTCCCTTGCCACCAATGTTCTGACAAATCTGCTAACACAAAGCCGCAAAGATGATGAAAAATATGCCGAACGAGAGCGCGAGCGCACCAGGAGTTTCTTCTCTTTAAAAGAACTTTATAAGAATAAAATAAACTTATAGAAGGATAGAGATATATCTAATTAATTATTATATCTACTTTTAAAGCTCTTGTAGACTTAGAATAGACGTAAAAGTAGAAAGAGCTCTCGGTATAATGATGGGGGAGAGAACACGCGTGTGCTAGTGCTAGCGACTCAGGTTCTAGGAAAACGACGGATCCATAGCCGAAATGCCAAGAGTGGCCTTAAAACTTGACCGCCCATAGAATAACGGAGAGATTTTTCCCCGCTTCGACTACCGATAAATCACCTCCAGCTTTGTCGCAAATACTTACAATATGGATAAATGTATTATCGTGACTAGCGATGAAAAGTCTTTGGAAGTCGGTATGTTCTCATAATGTGCTCTGTAGATGCTAGAACTAAACAGTTTGAATTGTAGCGCCCGACCGTCTTGGTTTTGCCCTCTTATTTCGAGACTTCCTAGATGACCTAGGCTTGACTAGTGAGCCATTTGTGCTCTCTCATGTACCCAAAATCGACAATTCCTTCGTACGACTCACTGATAGCACTAGGTTGATCATAATACTATGTCTATCATCTTGGAATGGGCTCTGGGCCACTACGTGGACGGGATTACCCTTCCTCCAAAACTCAAATTCTGGCAATCACGAGAGGACTTTGAGATTCTCCGAATCATACCGACCGCAGACTTTCTCGGGGCTGAAAGCTTACTAAATCAAGCGCTGACTCTCGCCAACCTACTCTTAGTGACGGATTACAAATTTCGAAACACCGTCGAGAAAACCGAGTTCTCGACGCAAATGACTAAAAGACTCTTGACCCTAGATGCAGTGCAAACTGCCCAGAGACATTACAAGTACTATTGTTACGCGCAGATCGATGGTTCTGAAAGAGAAATCTGGAGCGAGATCGTCTCGAGTTTTCCAGAGAGTAGCAGAGCTGTGAAGGATTGGACGATCTTTATTTACGCTACTTTCACTACCAAGCTTAGAGTCATCGGTAAAGAGAGCGAAACTGAGGATCTCTCAGCATTAAAGACCTTCATACACGAATGGCGCCCCTTTATCAAGGTTACATTCGATCGTATCATGACTATATAAGCATCATCTTTCCCGATGGACGAATTCTCGATAGTATCTTGGTTAGTGTCTTCTGTGTCTTCTGTGTCTCTTGACTAATAATCCGCTCGTCCCTATCTGCCGGCTACTATCTAGTTCATTACTACCGTGAGACTCTCGCTACTGCTTTAGATCTTGACGGCATGCCTGGATCTTCGATAGTTGCAATAGCCACAGCTGCCATCGCATCAACAAAATCGCTATACAAGATTGTCCAACGCTACAAAGAGCGTGCTAAGACTCTAAAAATACTATTAAGCGGGCTGGATGGCCTTCTCACCATTCTCGACACACTCTCTACAATAAACGAGACCAACGTGCAAGATCAAATCGACTTGTGACAAGGAGTGAGTGCTCAGAGGGGGTTGTGTATCAAGGATGCATGTGTGGCTTGCTGCGACCGGTCAGACAGAACCCTTCTTGATCGATCGTTATGCGTTCGGGCTCGGAAGCGGCACAGGCCTTCAGTGTATGGATCCACATCAATTTGTTGTTGTACAGTGCGCAAACGACTGGTGGGTCAGGCTCCGAGAAGAGTTCTGATTGATCGGGATGCAGTCTTCGTGCTGGGTTCCATGATATGACGTATCTACTTGGGCGAGTCCGGAATTTCACTGTTCCTTTCGGCAAGGATCTTGTATGATTGCGGCCCATACTATACCGTGGTCGGCTTGGAACGTTTCTGGTGCTATGTAATTTTATTGACGAGATTTCTACCTCGTTAATAGGTTTATGGTCAACGACATCTTTATCATCCAACGACATCTTTATCACCCAACGACATCTTTATCATCCAACAACATCTTTATCATCAAACGACATCTTTATCATGTCTGCTACCATTTCCTATGACCCGGGTCGGTCCACATTTGTACCTGGACTAGGAGAGAAGGGGGCATAGGCTGACTTTCTGCCAAAGTGGTAGAGAGTAAATCTAGCAGCTTATGCGTCTGCTCGGTATGCCCAGGTAAGAATCTCGGCAACCGGCCTGGGGCGAGGCTCGCAGAACCGCAATGATCAGGAGTGGCGAGCACGACATACTCAGGCTGGCTACACTATGCTCGCTGCGTCGCAGGGTTGGCGACGGTTATGGCGCATGAGGGCCGACAATCCTTGTGTTATAACAAGCGGATGTTCAATCACCTGTAATTTGTGGGCTCTTGCCAGCCCCTCTTTGCACAACTGATCCGTGGCGAGTAGTCTCTTTTGACGGCACGACGACCGTTGAGGGCTTGGACGTGCGGCTACTCCGTGTGTAGGCCATGGATAGCTCTTCCCAGATGCTTACTGCCCTTCGTTCGAGTTTAGAGGCTCGTCAGGTCATCACTAGAGCAAGTAAGAGTCGACCTTGCCCTGGCAGCGGCTATGGGTGCAGTCATCGATCGTGGTATTTGTCCCTAACCCCATCTACTATCACCGGACCACCCCTTGAGCTATATGAAGAGCTGCTGGGCGAAGTGGTTCACTTAGGGTTGATGGCTTCGGCATAGTTGATTGCTACAATCGATGCTGATTTCTGCTTCGTAACCCAAAGAGATTCAAGATTCTCCAGTCGAGAATGGCATATCTTCTATTTTGATGCCAGGTTGGGAGGCAGGCCTCGAGCGGGAGGACTTACTTTTGATCCCGTATACGACGATCAATAACTCGAACAATGCATGAATGAAGCTACCCCTGCCGCCTGCACCCTGTCAGGGACTCTGCCGTTGCTGGCACTTACTGGGCAATCGGAGTGCTGGTGACGAAGACACTCCTTCCGGTTCCCTTGTTTGTAAAGCCTCTCTTGGCAACAGAGTGTTACCAAGAGCGGCTTTACCCAGCTAAAGAGCTCCCACCGCCCCGACCATCTTTTGATACTGTTGCGCAGCTGCAATGGCCTGTAAGTGCTACCTTATGGAACTACTAATACAGATTCTTACGACGGATTCAGGCTCTAATTACATGCCAAAGGAGCTGATCTTCTTGGTTTCGAATTTAGGAGATCTTTTGAGCCATCTTTATTGTGGCTTACTTAAACCAGGTATCTTGCACTCCTCCGATAGGCGTGGGTAGAACAATAAGAAGCCACATATGGGGGTGTTGACTTCGCGTAGAAATGTGTTGCCACCCAGTAATTGAAGCTTTATTTTAGAGTATTGTTACAACATTCTCGTGATAACGATGCGTTTGACCCGGCCGTATTCGTTGTATCACCTGTGCAGCAAGCCAGCACGAACTCATCGAAAAGCCCATCTGCATGACATGATCGGATGTGCACCAAAGCTCTATGAATCATGTAGAACGCTAACTTGCCGGTCACCGCTACTAATAAAGATGCCATAGCATCCACTCGCTCGGTCAAAAATGAGATGAGGACCATTAGAAGTGGAAGCATTTCGAGATCTATTGTGGACCAGTCTGATATCAACGTGAAGGCCGTCCGTAGTGCCTTCACCATCACGCCTTATGCTTATTACACCGTAGTGTTATATTTACTAGAGCTAGCTGCTATCTGAATGGAGATGAGTAGTCTTAATTCCTGAAAGGGGTAGCTCGGGATGTGTATCACAACACGGACGGCACTTTT